GATAATCGTCTTGTTAATCACTTTGTTCAAGAATTTAAGCGAAAATTCAAGAAGGACCTTACTACAAATGCTCGAGCTTTACGTCGTCTACGAACTACTTGTGAACGTGCAAAGCGTAATTTATCTGCGTCAGCTCAAACTTCAATCGAAATTGATTCACTTTTCGAGGGTATCGACTTTTACACTTCCTTAACTCGTGCTCGATTTGAGGAACTAAATCAAGATTTGTTCCGATCTACCCTGGAGCCAGTTGAAAAAGTTCTCCGAGATGCTAAAATTGATAAAGCACAAGTTCATGAAATTGTTTTAGTTGGTGGTTCTACTCGAATTCCTAAAATACAAAAAATGGTATCAGACTTCTTTAATGGCAAGGAGCCCAACAAATCTATTAACCCCGAATTAGCCGTCGCTTACGGTGCTGCTATACAAGCTGCAATCTTTTCTGGTGATATATCAGCAAAAACTCAAGACTTGTTATTACTTGACGTTGCACCATTTTCTCTTGGTATTGAAACTGCAGGAGGTGTTATGACACCACTTATTAAACGAAACACCACAGTTCCCACCAAGAAATCTGAGATATTCACCACATACTCAGATAACCAACCAGGTGTACTTATCCATGTATATGAAGGTGAACATGCTCGTACAAAGGATAATAACTTGCTTGGTAAATTCGAATTGACCGGCATTCCACCTGCACCTCGAGGTGTACCTCAAATCGAAGTTACTTTTGGTGTTGACATGAATGGTATTCTTCTTGACTATAATCTTTTTAGTTTCTTACTGTCATATGATTATTTCCTTTATAGATCTCTGCTGTCGATAAGACAACTGGACGATCTAACAAGATTACCATTACTGGCAAAGGCCAATTGTCTAAAGAAGAAATCGAACGCATGAGTAAGCTTTAAAATATTTATAATTATTTTTAATAAACCAATAAAGTTATAAATTTTAACATTATTTTTTTAACATGGGATGTTGCGGATGCTGAGAAATATCGTGCAGAGGATGAAAAGGTTGCTCAAAGAATTCAAGCACGTAATGACTTGGAGAGCTATGCATACAGTTTGCGAAATACACTTCAGGTATGATTATGAATTCAGTATATTTTTTTCAGGTGTAAACATAATAAGAATTATCATAAACTAAATGATCTATATTCTCTTTTAGGACGAAAAGGTTGTAGGTAAAATAGTTACAGGTGATAAGAAGAAACTTGAAGATTCTATTCAAGAAGCAATTACATGACTCGAAAACAATCAAGAAGCTGAAAAAGAAGAATATAATCATAAACAGAAATCACTTGAAGAAACTGCCAACCCAATAATGATGAAACTTTTTGGAGGTAAATCTAATAGTGACTCTCCAAGTAGTCCAACAATTGATGTTGATTAATTATAAGATTATTTTTTGATTTCTCGTTGATTATTGCTTTAATTGGGTATGTTTGTTTTGTTTGGTTTGATGATTCGTCCAAACGCGGCTCGTGAGCAACGTCACAAGGTTTATAAGGAGTATCCTAGCCAAGCATAGCTAATTTTCGTAGATCATCCTGTAATATTGTGGAAATTTTATTGATTAATCAAAATTTTAAAACTTAAATTAAATCGTTGAATAAAATGAATTTTAGAAAACTAATGATATAAAAATAATTATACTTGTGGCAAATTTGACA